TTGTCTTTGTTTTCGCGTGCTTATATAAACGTTTGTTTTCTAACAGAATAAACAGAGAGAATAAAACACACACACACACGTTAACTGTGTTCGTCGCTCTTCGTGAGCGAGAACGCTAACAATAACAATTCATGTTTATTTTGTCTAGATTCTTTTTAGATTATTAACTTTAATAGTATGTTATAGATTGAATGATTCTCTTTCTCAAAACATTGAATATGTAAGAATTTCTGATGTGTTACAAATAGAGATGTGCGGGACCGAAACCAAAAAGTCGTGATTCTGTACATTTATTGTTCCGAGATGATTTGTTTTCTAGAGAATTTGTTATGTCAAGAAACAAAAAAAAGAACAAAATACTATTTAACTAATACGTCAACAATCGTGTCATTCAATGAGATAATTAATTATTTAATTCATAAAGAAATATTTTTTAATTAGTTTTACAAATGATCATTATAATTACCTGTGCAGCTATATCAACAAGTGCTGGTAACTCAAGTTCTTGTCCGGATCCATGACGAAGATAATCTAATAAAATTTCATTACACATAAATTCAGTAACAATATAAATCGGTTGATCTGGTGGTTCCATACAAACAGCATATAATTGCACCAGTTTATCATGATGTAAGGGCGCGAATGTAGGTGTGGAGTGTGGATGAGTGGGGGGTGTGAGTGTGGGATGGCTAGGGTGTGTGTAGTTAAAGGGAGGGCGCACACTCACACCCATCCCACCCCAAACCCACATCTTTTCATTAGTAGAACATCATTTTCATTAGATAATTTTAATTTTCTGGAAAAGTATAATTATTTCATTACTTTTACATGATTTCAGTGCAATGATTTCGATTATTTCAATTCACGAAAGAAAAATGATTCGATTACTTTGATCACTGTCACATTTGAAACATTCGATTTAAACCGTTTGGCAAACGATTGAAAACTTATATCCGTTTTCTCTGAAAAATGAATTTTAATCAATGTATTTCGTGTGAAACACATTATGTGACACGATTTTTCTTCAAAAAAGTCGAGAAAATGATGAATCCCTACCTTGTTTATAAATCTTAGCCCTTTCACATATCAATCTTAAAAAAAAGGCATGTGAAAGGACAGAAAACGTGTTGCGCCCTATTTTTTCTAAAGATGTGAAGTATTTTAAATACACTAGTATACGCCACTTCTCGTGGTGGTAGAGTAAAGAAACTTTAGAAAATTTCAACAGAAAGCTACTTGAAGAGCAACCAGACCAGACTTTTTGAAAAGTCTGGGTGAAACTACCTAACCTCAGATGGATAGAACTCTCATGTGGCTTGGTAGTGATATCGAGGGAAATGGCTTCAATGTTTTTTCATTTTCACATTTTTCATGACGTTAGTTTCTGGTATTCTAAATGATTTTCATGAGATGACTTGAATGAAAAATTAATCATTTTCATCAATGAAAATTCTGATTTTCATCAGTGAATTTAAAAATACGTAAGAGAATATGCCTGATTCATTATCAAAAATGGCACTTTTTACCATTTTTTAAGTCGCAGAGATTCAGTAATAGAATTGAGTTCGATTGAATTTTAAAAAAATTCAGTGATCAATGAATTAAATCGAATTCGGAAGAATTTTTCGTAATCATTGAATCTTCCTTGGACAAAAAAAGCTACCTTTTTCTATTAGCTCGTTTTCCTCTATAATTCATTGCGAGATCTTTATTTTCATATATATGGATAGACCGTGAGTTAAACTACATATATATATATATAGGAAGGCAATTCCACCAACTTATTAGCTCAGATTTCTTGGACATATACAAAAAAAGTCTGATTTTCATTTTTTTGAACGAATACAAATAACTATCTTTTGAAGACAAAAACCGCTTTGTTAATAAAAATGACGCTACTTTATAGGCATATGTTTATTATATAATCATATAATATAGATATATGGAACAGTGTACGTTAAATACATAATATACAAGAAACTATTGATTGGCTCTCACTTGCATTTCAGTTAAAGAATGAGAAATATAAGATTGAATGACTTTTTGTGGTATATCATCGCATGCATTATCTATTGCAGTATTTAATTGAGAGGCCGTTCTTGGTTGTTGATCTGCTACATAAGATTTTATCCAAGACCACACGTATTCTATTGCGTTAAATTCAGGAGAATATGAGGGAGCATCTAGAAATTCAATGCCATTATCTTTAAGGCACGTGTGAATTGTTTGTGTTTTATGATATGAAATATTATCTTGGTAGAATTTGTGTCTTCATAATTTTGAAGTATATGGTCCAACTTGTGTAGGAGGAAGATGAAGATAAGTAGCTGAATTCATATATCCATCATCTCTACTAAACGCTTTAAAGTTCCAGCCGATAACATCCCATAGTTGCTCATGTGCTTTGATATTATCAACAGAATGTATAGGTCTCGGTTTACCAGGTTTACACCATACAATAGTACCGACATCGCTCATTGTAAATATCTTTTCATCGCTAAATAACCATCGTTTTCATATTATCATCAACGTGTGCTTCAGCAAACGAAGTTTTGGTTTACTCTTGCGTCGAAGTGAGTGATTTTTTTATTTGTTGATGATAAGGACGATATCCTAATTCACGACGATAACGCTGGATAGTTCTGGCGCTAACGCGTTTACCAGTCTTTTCGAATATGTCATTTATAAGAGATGTTGCAGTAGCTGTTGGATTTTTTGTAATTTTTCTATTCAACTTTTGTTTTTCGGCATGCGAACAACCCGTCAATCCCCTCCCCCCCCCCCCCACATATCGTTTTTCCGTCTCTTTCTCTCTCCATTATTATTTGAGTTCGTTTAATATCGTTCAAATGAGACATTTTTATTATGACATAATATCCATCGGTTATTCCTTATATATAAGCGGTGCTCGATTTATTGTTCTTTTTCTTGTTCTGGTTTTTGTTTCATATTTTCATCTTTTCTTGACTTACTTTGATGTTTTATTATACCATAAATTATTATTTGTATTCGTTCAAAAAAATGAAAATCAGACTTTTTTGTACATGTCTAAGAAATCTGAGCTAGTAAATTGGTAGAATTGCCTTCCTATATATATATATATATATATATATATGTAGTTTAACTCACGGTCTATCCATCTATATGAAACTAAAGATCTCGCAATGAATTGTAGAGGAGAACGAGCTAATAGAAAAAGGTAGTTTTTTGTCCGAGGAAGAATTGAGTTGAAAAAAATTATCAGAATGCCTGAGTTTAGTTGAATTTAATTGAACAAGTTCTTCAGAATACATAAATTGAGTTTTAAGAAAACTGTCGATCATCATGAATTGAATTGAGTTGAATTTTTCTTTCAATAAATTCAATTGAATTTTTTATCGTGTTGAGTCAGTTGCCTAGCTCTGCAAAATACGAAAATTTAACAGAAATTTCTAAAAACCACCACAATCAACTCTACAGCGCAGTTTTACATTCGCATCCAGATGATTTCGTCAGCTTCGAAGATTAATTGATTCTTATTTTTGAAAGCATTCAGTATGAATTGAGTACGAAGCAGTTGTAAGAAAAAATACAGCCTAATTCAATGTAATCAGCATGAAAACAAAAAAAACTCCTCCATTATATTAAAGTAAATGCATGTAATGAATTAACTAGAGTTGACTAGCTGTCATTGTGGAATTTAAAGCTTTGAACCCACAGCTTTGTCTCTGTAAGAAAGCCTTTCCATCTTTGTTCAAGTTTTAAATACTCTTCATTTTTCATAACTGTTGAACCAAGGTCAATAATTTAAGTAGCTTTTTTGTAAAGATTCTCAAAAATTACCTTAAAATGGTGATCGTTGTTCCCACTTGATAATGAGGTTTTCTCCTTTTCAAATGAGTTATTGTTTTGAGTCGAATTGTTTCTGTCGTCTTAATTGAATTATACGACTTTCGGTTTTTGACATCGCTTTTCTTGATTTCATATTATTTCGAATGCGAAAAAAATTATATTCATGTTTTCCTAATGTTCCTTGAGAAAATATGGAAAGAAAATAGCATATATAGTATACAAAAATAACGTGAGTTCGATATGATTGTGATCGAGTTTCGTAGCTTGAAGAAATAATTTAAATTTTCTTAGTTCAATGAATTTCAAGCAATCAACTAGGAGTAAAATATGAGTAATTGATCATCATCAAAAAAATAGAAAAAAAAATCTCATTTAACTGTTTCTTTGAGCTTCTGTATCAAATAGAAGTGATATAATTTCATATTATTTTTAATCGTGTTTTTTACATTATTTTCTAAGGTGCAATGAAAAGCATATAGTGATTGTTTAGTATTATTTTATGTTTTTAACATAACAAACTTTTCATTCATGTACTGCTTTACATACTTGAAATATATACACATAATAGGAATGCAATGGAGACAAAATCAAATTGCAGGAAAATACTGATAGAAAGTTTAGTTCAGCAACGCGAGAATCAATAGTTCGAGTCACGAAAACAAGAAAACATAGTTCGTGTATTTGGTGAAAAAGGATTGAGATTCGTTTATTTGCAGTTTTAGATAATGAAACATTACGAAGAGAAAGAGAGCGTAATGTTCACTATTAAATCTACTAAATTATTTAGTGAAACGTTTGAATCAAGAATTAGACTGTTCAGCTGATTGTATTTTAGAGTGTTTAACAATTTCATTTTGATTTGGATTAAAATTTTGCTGACACCATTTGCCGGTGTGATTTTGATAATGATAAGCATTAATTGCAAATGATGAGTGATAGAGAAATGTCGAGGCATGCGTTTGACAAAAGAAATTTGGATAATAATCAATAATATGTTTCACCACATGATAACAATCATCATACACTTTTGTTTTAGGTAACCAGAAGTCGGCAATTTTTCCAGAATCAGCTGTTTCCGTATTTGTACTCGCAGTACGGATAGCATCACAAAGGTCAATCAGAAGCTCTTTTCTACTTTCAGATTGCATTATTTCATGAACAGTAAGTAAAATGTTATAATTAAAAACATCAATTATTACTCCAAATGTTCGATGACAATTAGAGATATAAGTTTCTTGTTTGAATTTTTTGGTCTTTCGTGATAATTTATGATAAGGCATTCGACCCTAAACCATTTCGAAGTAATACATAGTCATCATCACCTTCTTGGACTGGATTTGTTTATTGCGAATGATGTGTATGTATATGTTCGGCACAATATTCTTGCCCTTTTAATGAACTTCGATCATATCGCATCATAAAATGTTCGTATTTTGGCGTCTTGATTATCTATAAAAACAAATATTTGAGACACAAGTATTTCCACTTATCAATCAAACCTTTTTGCCGTAGTTTATTTCAAAAAATTTTCTCATTCATACTTAGTTTTTCAAATAAAAAATGTAAGACACGAATAAATACACATACTCACACAATTCTTATGTTAAACATACTGGATTAGAGATGCGTTTAAATTTGTCTCCAACATATACAGAGATTGATGACTATCTGGTCTTAAATATTAACTATTGATATTTATTGACTCTAGTAGAAATCACATATATGCGAAACATGTAATAGTGAGATATTTCCAATAATATCGGTATTGTTGTAAATTGAATAAAAATGTGAGGTTCGTATTTACCTAGATTAACATGGATTAGTCGAAATAAAAATAATACAAAAAACACTATCCGTCGTTTAATTATTAACATCTCACGTTATTCAATTAAAACCAACTTAGACAGGATAAGCTATACATTTAGCTATTGAAGAAATTAGTTTTTTTTCTGTGGAAGTCATATTTTTATCTTCAAACAGCAACGGTTATATTTGACATGGCACAGGAGGATTTCCATTTTTCTTTCGATTCAATGTACCAGAAGTTACGCAAATTGTAGAAAGCGTCTTTACTAAAAAGATTAAAATACACAATACCAGTGAATGAAGCTTGCATATTATCCTTCTGATTTTCTGATTTTTATTGCCACCAATCATTTATAAATAGTGCATACCACACGAAGGAAAGAATTTGTGTTGAGACTAAGAATTTACAAATAGCACATAAACAATACGCTTTTCAGGCAGACAAGTTAAGAGCCAAAGCGGTGTTTAAACATCTCAATATGTAAGTTGTTACAAATGTTTGATTAATCGCCCAAAACACGTGAAAACAATTTTAAGATTAATAACTTTTTAACGCGTTTTCTATGTTTAAACTCTCGGAATTATTGAAACTTTCGCCGTTTTGATGTCTTTTATGAAAACGCCTGATAACAGTTAAAAAAGATTTCGTTTAAACAATGAATTGACACATGTACGGGCATCGCAAAAGTCCATACCTAAAAATGTAATTTGGTTAACTTCATTATTGTTTGACCTTTATTGACTGACTGTTCTCGTGTAATTGATGAAACCATTGAATTTTTATTTTTATAGACAAATTATAAAGGTGCTCTTTCACGTAATTATCTTCAGCAAAGATACACTCATTGAACATTTTTTTCTTGCTTCGTAATAATATTTCGCTGCGTTTGTTTTCTAATTACTTCAATTTCTAGATTTATTCTGATCTTTAAATTATCCAAATCTTAAACGGTCATTTTACAGAGATTAGTTCTGATGTGTTCTCATCAAAAGTCAAGCCGTTAAAGAAAAAAGCCCTACGAAACACTATTATGGAATCAGAAAAAGGACTGAGTTTTTAACTCGACTAATGGTAATTACTTTAAAGAGAACTTTTATAAGCTTTCCAAAGAAATAAAATCCTTGATAGTGCCAGCTATCAAACGAAAAAAATTAGCCAATAAGGGTCAACCAATAGTGAAGTTAAAACGAAAAAGCATTTCTGAATAAGAACTTTTAGGACATCCTGCAAATGTTTCGTGTCGATCATTGAGAAATTGTTACTCTAAGAAAATTTATCGTAATTCTTAGGACAAGATGGCTTCCTCAAATGATCTAGTTTTTTTTCTGCTTATTCTCTCAAAAATCGAAATATAAAATCATTTGCTCTATTTCTTTTTCACTACAAATATTCTATTTTGTTTAAAAATGTTGATATTAATTTATTGTTTCTGAGATATTAGGTTGCTGAGTCTTTAAATTTCATTTACAACACACGAATGCATAGTAGTAAACCAAAAGATATTCTGTACTTAAGAAATTTTGTCTATTCTTTTTATAATGAAAAACACAAGTTTCATATTCAAGATAACTGACAAATTAGAATGTTGAATGAAAATGTCTTTAAATATTACGATTAACACAGAAATTGGTTAGAGAAAACGAGAACCAATAACTGTCTAACAAGTTTCTAATATTTAGAAAACTACAATCCGTTTATCAAAAACGACGATACTCTATGGGAGACGAGAACTGTCGCAAGCTTCAAGCCAATTCTAGGAATGATATTGTCATGTTTGCATGAGTGTTTCTATCTGTTATTCTCTTGAGTGATAGGGTTTTCCATAGCTTATTCATTTATCGAGGACTTAAAATTATGTTTATTATTGTTTAAGGCCTGGCTCAAAAATCGATCTCAGTCCAGGTATGTTCAAATGGCAAAAAATTTTCTAGACATGTTTGGGCTGCAGTGAAGAAGCTATAGAAAAATTTTCAGTCCTATATCAAGACGCTTGAGGGAGATATTGACCAAATATGGGTCAAAATAGCTCATTTGACAAACCAGATTTCTATATCTGGGCTAATTCTATATCATTATTTTTGTTTTGTTTGAAAGAGCATGTCAAGATGGAAGACACCACAGGGTCCTTTTTTTTAATTCTTCCTTTTTAAATGGAAAGAAGGAATCACAAATTCATCACTTAAAAAACCTTAAAACAAGTGAGCTTTTCCGTAGAAGTGTTTTTTTATATTATAATAAAAAAGCTTATTTTAAGAAACAGGCTCTGTGATGTCCTACATTCTGGCGTGCTATTTCCAACAAAAAAAAATTAAAATACTTAACATGAATCTGGTCAGAAAAATGTGAGTTGCGCGTTTGAGAGATCAGATTACGAGCTATTTTTCTCAGCATTTACATTAATTTCGATTATTCTGACGACAAGTGACTTATTTTTACAGAAAGGGGAGTTTGAACGTCTAACCGTCTCAAATAACTCATCCTATAAGAGTACTCGTAACGAATTTTCTCCATTAAATGCTTTATCTAAAGAACAGTTATTGGAATCCTGCTAATTTAATTCTTGACGAATGATCGTGTCGTTTACATTTCGTCTATCGTATATCGAACGATCACCGTGACTTGATCGATATCAGAAATTTTCAAAAAAGCTCACTATTACTGAGGATACACTAAGTTCCTTTTTCTTTCTCTCATATTGAAAGACTTTCTTCAGAAAAGACGTTTATCTGAGTTGACTGTGTTTGTTCTCATACACACCATAAAGATATGCATTACTTATATTGAAACATATATTGATTGTAAATATGAGCTAAAATTGAAGACCATAGTTACCGTCTAGGTAGTCTACGAGTTTTCTATTGAAGATTTTATTATTTCATTTATAATTTAGTCCAAGTATTTTTTAGTACCTTTAAAAACACTGAAAGTCGGAATGATTTTTACATCATATCGCATGGCGTTTTATTTCAATTATTAAAAAGTATCAATAAAGTTTGAAATTCCATAAGACTTTTCGAATAATTAGAACAATCCAACTTAAGTCACTTGAACAAATTTCTACTTTACTATACTTTGACGTGATCGAGAGATTAGAAGATCAATAAGAATGAACGTAATTCTATCATAATTGGATACACGATTTGCTTACAAAATAGTGTAGTATTTCAACAGATGTGAATTTTTAATGGCATCAACATACCATTCAGATATCTCACTAGGTGCTCTTTGTCAATATTGATATATCAGGAATGAACAACTCACAGTCAGCTAAGATCATACAGGGTTTCAATGCTAACAGTATTAGCATTGACTTTTTGCTGAAAAATGTCTCGATACTCCATTTTAGTAGTATTAAAATACATTTTATGAACGAGATATTGTACGCTTGAATTATACCGGCAGCTTCTTGAGAAGCCCTGGAGGTAATGATTATAAATATTTTGAAATATGAAATTTTTATTGAATGCAAATTTTAAGTAAATTATTATGTCTGATATTGAAGAAAATAAAATATAAATCTTGCACGATCAAAGGAAATATTCGCCACAGACTGACATCTCATTGAAAATTTAGCTTAAGTACCTATCAAATGATAGACCACTTTTAACGCACGAAAAAATTCATTTTGCTATGGAAGTTTTGAAGGAAAAAAGAAGTAGCCAAAATGAATTAAATATTGAAAAGATTACTTGATTGGTCTTAGTCGTCTTATTTTTCATGTGTGAATCAATTTTGTATGATAGCTAAAAGTGAGAATGATTTTACTTTTAACATGTGCCATAGAGTTTTATAACGTGACTGATGTCCATATGTGAACAGCGAACAACATAATTATGAGATTCAACACAGTGCAAGTATACGTAATATGTAAGTAATTACACTGAAGACAATCATTACTAGGGACAGGTGTGACGTCGTGATCATTGCTATTTTCTTGTAAAAGTTTGTGACTGTGATTGAGCTTTGGTAAGAAAAAGTCACGGACGTTAAAATACCTGGATATTCTGTATTTTCGTTAACTGGTTAGATGTTCAACCATAGAAACGATCTCGTTTGTTGCATATATATAGTATTTGCAGCTACTTTTAAATGCAATAAGTGATGCCCCTATATAATATATAACAGAATCATAATTTATATTTTGAATAATAATAAAGTCAAGCGCTAGATTTTCCATCATTAATGTTTTGTTTCAAGAAGTTAATAGGAATATCTTTCTTGAAAGTAAATTATATATGATTTCACTTTAATAATATCTTTCGAGTTGCAACTAAGTTTCCCATTCTTTGCTTGATCAGATAAGTTTTGTTCTTGAATATTAATTTGGTTTTGCTTTCATACCTTTCAGTTGAAGATATTCAAGTTGCTCTTACTCATAAAATCAATATATTCAACCTTCGCCGATAACATATATAGTTTACGAAAAGAGGACCTAGCAAACTAAAACCTATTTTTGTGATGTAATCATGACGAAAAAATTGACAATGCCACGCACTAATCACTATTCTATAAAAAAAATAGTTTCTCTACACAACTTTATCCGATGAGAAATCTAAGCAGAATTTGATTATTTTTTTCTGTTCTGCATCCTTTAGCAGATTTACGACAGTTCAAAAGGGTGCTCTATCAAATATAACTCTCCCAACAACATGTCTTTTGGAGTAATACTTTTTACTTATTTCTTGCAGACGGAACAAGTATTTTATAATCAACTTCCTTTTTGACAGCTCTAGGAAGAATGGAAAGCAATTGACGATACTGATATAATATGTCTAAACGGCATGTTGTTCAATATTTATTATCTCCACTTCTATTTGAACATCTGTCATCGTTTTCTAATAACAACAATGAATCTCCAATGATTTTCTCCTTTCCATTCTATATGATATTTGCTTTTCTGTAAGTTTGAATTTCATCAGAGAGGAAACTTTACGATATTTTATTATATTCTTTCTTTGTAATGAAGAATTCGAGATAGAATAGTGAGAAATCAGAGAGTGAATGTATGTCAAAACATTGATTTCGAAAGCGAAATATCTTAGAATATTACCTCAACGAGTTTGATCTGGGTAAGCATTAATAGTGATTCAGACAAGTTTTTTGTTTTATCTAGAGAAGTCAATCTTAAGTCTGGCATCATTACTGTTCAAAACATACAGGTATCACGTCTTGATCATACAAAAATCAGCAAATATTCTAATAGTATTCGTTCCTATAGACTATTGGAACGATTATCTTAAATTTAAAAAGAAAAAAAAATTTAGTTGTAATAACTGAATATTTTAGATAAATATCCGTCATTTCATCATCTTTTGAATGAATAATCCTAATTGAAAAGAATCATTTACATCCCAATCTTGGATTCTTTTTCCTAAATTCATATTCATTCAAATATTTTTCTCTTCAGCAGAATGTCTAATGACAATGACAATTTCAACTACAGCAATAATTCATTTCTTGGTGATCATGAATCAATATCGAATGTAGTTAAATTTTGGGTCTATCTTATTTTTCTCATTCCATCAATTATTTGTTCAATGTTTGCCCTCTATTATCTTTTGTGGAATCGAACTTTACGTCATGCACTTCATAATCATGCTATTATTATTTTTCTTTCTATTGGTTTAACTTATGAAGTAACAATTTATCCATGGATGCTTCTTTTTTTTTACAAGGAAGGTATATGGGAAAGGACACATTTCTTTTGTAGTCTCTGGTTATTTATTGACTGGGGACTCTACTATACTCAAACAATACTTTTTGCATGGGCCACAATGGAAAGACATATTTTAATCTTTCATGATAAATGGGTATCTACAAAAACGAAACGTTTATTAGTACATTATATGCCTTTAGCTATACTTGCTTTCTACTGCCTCATATATTATAGTGCGACCATATTATTTCCACCTTGTAAAAATACTTTCAATGGTTATATCATGATTTGTGTCGATGGTTGCTTGTTTAAATCTTTTTTACTTCACACATATGATACAGTTACTCATCAAATAGTACCGCATTTAATTATTGTTGGATCTAGTATAGGTTTATTAATACGAATTCGTTGGCAAAAACATCGTATAGGTCAATCGTTAAAATGGCGAAAACACTGGAAAATGACAGTTCAATTGTTGTTTGTCTCGATTATTTACCTTATATTTGGTTTGCCATCTACACTGTTGCATCTTTTATCTTTTTGTGGTGTATCAAATTATGTAACAGTTGTATTTTCACAATATGCACTATTTTTGAATTATTGTACAATTCTTCTTTGTCCAATTGCTTCTGCTGTATCATTACCTCAATTACGAAACGAAAGGATGAACTTCTTACGATTACGAGGTCGAGGAAGAGCTGTTGCACCGATAACATAGACCTAAAAAAGACAATATTTATTCAAATATTTGCTTTAATAATCAATCTTATTTCGTAATTATCTTTGTTTTGAATAATTGTAGTATATTTTAAATGAAATCATTTATAGGAAAATACAGAACGAGGGTTTTCTACATACTAGATGAGTTGAAACTGATCACGATAGGTTTCGAGCTACACTCGATTGCAAAATAAAGTGGAAAATTTCGTATATTGGTTGTCGAAAAGAACAAGTTGTGGCAAACTTTAAATTGTAGGAAACTCTTATTACATCTCTGATTGCTAGTTTTTGACAAAAATAACTTATAATGAATAATAGAAAAACAGAAATCACAGATAGTAAAACAAGAGGTGTCATTTCTTTAAAATTAGTATTTTTCTAGTTATGGTGATAACATTTATTTTTTCCACCTGAATGATGTACTCTTACAATCATCCTTACCCGTATCTTCAATCTTATCCCAACATCAAAAACTTTGACAAAATTTCTATAGAAAAACCAATTAATTACACATATAAACTGAACTTCATTTGGCAAGAGTCACATACTCAAAATTAATTTTTCTTTATCAACTAAAAGACTAAATATTATATGACGAAAAACATGGTTTTCGTGAGAAGAATCTTTGTTACACGTTGGTCAAATCATCTCTTGCACTTATCTGGTGCTTTACTTATTGCACGTTTTTATACCTAGGAGCCATTGCATGAAACGGACGACCCAAATGACGGATCACGTGCTCAATCAACCTCACGAATTTCACTGAAATTTTGACAATATGCAACCCTAAATGAGATATTCTAATCACAATGGACGCACTCTCAGCTAAAGAATGACGATGAACAACGCAGGACCCACTCAGTGTATACTTCGCTATTTTTCAACCATGATGTTTTTTGGCATGTAACTTTGAGGATATATACTACCCTTAGTATCCTATAGACGGAAGCAATCAAAACTACTTTTCCACTCGTTAGGCGGTATAGATATATTTCATAGGTTTTAGATATGCTCTCCACATTG